CGTCAAAATCTATAAAATATGCTGTGAGAATATTGTCTCGTCAAAATCTATAAAATATGCTGTAAAAATATCGATCACTCGTTAGGGGCTCGATAAATCTAATTGTGGATGGTGTGTTAAAACAAATACAAATTCTTGTTTTCTCAATTGATAATAAGAACAATAGAATATTCATCTACCTCTTTGAAGGTAATATATCCAATATAACTATCACTAATTATAAATATGACCTCTTCAGAAGCCTTGATTTTCGTTTGCAATATCTCTTTATCTTTTCCTCTTCTAGGAATTTTATGTTTCACCAATCCATATAACATGCTCCCAACATTAATCAATTCCATGTGTCCATCATATTGTTCTTCAAGGACTTTAAAATCATGTAAACACTCCACTTATGATGGATGCTAAAATTATATGACCATTAATTTGTCAACATTCACTTTTGGGAACGGTGACATAATCAATTGCCANGTTTATGCAGAATCCAACTGTGATATCTCCGGTCTAAGGATTAATAATACCCTAGTACGATCTTATGATAAATCATTGACTACATTTTAAATGTCCATGTGATTCATCATAAATGGTCATATTCGATAAACAGTTCGCTAACCGCGTATCCATGCTAATGCCCTAGTGATATAACTTTTATAATCACCCACACCAATAGCATCACATGATATTCTACGGAGGCATTCAGCATGCCTACTATATAACATTATTGCCCAATTAATATTACCTATATAGGGAATACTTTGATGATTTTGATCTTCTAAATATTTGTATCATCTAGACATTTCACATGTAATACATATATATAAATGAAGCAATAAACCACATGTGAAATAAGAACACTTTCTTCTATTGATAAGATAAAAAGTATATACAAACTATATACATTCACATATATATACAAAACATAATGCCTCGGAACCGATGACATGATTGGTTCCTAGGGCATACACTGACAGTATTTACCTCTGATTTTGTTATGCATTTATAAATACATTTCTCATTATATTAACAATATTTCGAAGTTGTATTATCATTCACACTTATTTTACATAAATTTGTGTGAGTATCGAGTGAGACATATTATGTCACTTTCCATAAAAGTTCATTCTTATTTAAGGAGGTTTTACCTTTTTTCCTAAACGTGGGAATATTGTCTCATCAAAATCTATAAAATATGCTGTAAAAACATCCATCACTCATTTGGGGCTCGATAAATCTAATTGTGGATGGTGAGTTAAAACAAATACAAATTCTTGCTTTCTCTATTGATAATAAGAACAATAATTAGAATATTCATCTACCTCTTCAGGGGTAATATATCCAATATAACTGTCACTAATTACAAATATGACCTCTCGGAAGCCTCAATTTTCATTTGCAATATCTCTTTATCTTTTCCTCTTCCAGGAATTTTATGTTTCACCAATACATATAACATGCTCCCAACATTAATCAATTCCATATGTCCATCATATTGTTCTTCAAGGACTTTAAAATCATGTAAACACTCCACTTATGATGGATGCTAAAATTATATGACCATTAATTTGTCAACATTCACTTTTGGGAACGGTGAAATAATCAATTGCCATTGATTTAGAATTTTTGCAAATTCATTAGAATAAAGATAAGTTGACAAACGTATCTTACAAACTTTCTTGACAAACCCCACATGGCACCTGAGTTGGTAGCTCTCATCAGAACTATTGCAGAATGATTTCGACTAGAACTAAGAAACGGTTGTTCCTTAGAGGGAACAATCGTTATGAATGGAGGAATAGTCATTCCTTGGATGGAACGGTCGTTTCTTGGATGAGGAATGGTCGTTCCTTGGTTGGAATGACCTTTCCTTGGATGAGGAACAACCATTCTAACTCCAATGAACGGCCATTGCCATTCCATAGGGCCATTCCACCTGAAGGAACGGCCATTCTGTGATGGAATGGCCATCCTTCCTATGGAACGGCCATTCCTTCCTCATGGAATGGTTGTTTTTTATATGATGAACGGTTGTTCATCCCTTAGGGAATGGTCGTTCCTTATATGATGAACAGTTGTTCATCCCTAAGGAACAGCCGCTCATGTCTAGTCAAAACCGTGAGTTAACGTAGTAATGGCAACTCAGTGTCAAGTTGGGTTTGTGAGAGAAAGTTTGTGAGATTCGTTTGTCAACGTAGTATTACCCAATTAATTAATTATTCAGTAATCAAGAGACAATGCACCATCTCCAAATATTTGTAAATTGGTGCAATCTATATTGCTACTTCAGGAGCAAGTTCAAAACGTACCCATTTAATTATCATTATAAACCATGCAATTTTAGCTGAGAGGTAACAGTAGTTATTTCAGTCTTCTATAAATTGGCAGGCTCTATATTATTGAAAACAATAATGTTAGACGCATGGCTATCTCAAGAACATTTGTAACCTTAGGCAAAAGTTACTTTGAGGGCTTTCTAATAATATAAGCATATGTTATAAAAAAATTACTTCAAATTTATTTTTCTTGCTTTCTGAGATGCAAAATCATTAATTAAATTTTTGTATTCAAATTTAGAAGTCAAATCTTTTTCAATTGATAATATATCCAAATTACCTAATGTTTCTTGTGAAATTGTTGAACGCAAATAAGATTTTATTAACTTTAATTTTGAAAAACTTCCTTCTGTTGAAGCTACAGTAATAGGAATAGTTAATAATATTCTATAAGCTATCCATGTATTTGGAAAGAAATTCACCTTTTTTTTTTTCATAAATCTAGTATCTCAAGTGGTGTTTTAATTTCCATGCTTATAATTTCTTTTAAAACTTTTAATTCCGAATATGAATCTTAACCATCAGTATCAGAGCGCATGTAATGTTTTAAAATGTTTTCAAGATTTAAACAATTTTTCTTCAAATCATCATCATCAAGCCATTTTAACTTTTCTATATTATAAAGGAAACCAAAATTATCACTATATATTTTAAAATTTTCAAACCTACTTTGAAGTGAAGAAATGACATGATCAACTAAATATGTTAAATAATTTCATTTCATACTAAATAATCATGCCTAATAGAAATTCAAAATTTTCAATCTCATAAGTTATTAAAGAAATAGCTTAACTTTTTGTTTGAAGATCTTCACTAGTTTCTGTTAATTGATATAAAACATCTCTTATTTGTGGAGCTTGAAATTTTATTGCTTTAATAGTCTTTCATTGTTAAAAGAAATTCAATGTGTGGGATTGAATTGGGGGTGAGTAATTTGAGACATGTAAATAACCATTTTAGTCTTTCATTGTTAAAAGAAATTCAATAGGTTAATTTAAAGGTGTAAATTGGAATACATGAAACTAAATGTACAAACTTATAATTTCGTCAAACTTTGGGGGGAATAATATAAGAGTTTATAATAAATTTGGATTTTTTTAGCTTTTTTTTTTTTTTTTTTTTGGGCCCCTTAGGTCGGCCTTGATAAAAAATTCTACACTATTTTTATTTTTATAATATATTCAAAAAAAATTTATAAAAAATTTTAGGCCCTTTTTTGCCCCATTTTTTGGAGGCCCTAGGCAGGTTCCTCACCCCTTAGGTCGGCCCTAGTTAGACGTACAAAGAAATTTATAAAGATTTTTTATACAAAGTGAAGTAATATAAAATGAATGGAAGAGTGAGTACAAAAAGTCAAACTCATCATATTCATTATTCCATTCTGCTACATCACTTTGTATAAAAAAAAAAAAAAAAATCTTTGTAAAGTTTTTTGTACTATTACCCTATTGAAAAAATCAGTTCCCATAATTTAATTTAAGTAGTGGAAAGAAAGTTAGGATTTTTTATTTTTTAAATTCTATAGGAATAAGTGATTTTCTTTCCTGGATTCACATCTTCTAGATGCATAGCATAATGACGCATTATAGTATCTCAAATATTCATAAATTAAAATATTCATTAAAATATAAAATAATGATAAATTGCAATGAAATAGAGAGGACGATAAGTTACAAATGTAAAGTCAGAACTCCGAATTTTGATATAAAGATTTGAAATATAGATCTTCAAGTTCTAATTTTAGAGTTCTCATGGCTTCATGCCTTTATTCCAATTATGTTGTAGACTCAAAACTTTAGGTTTTGGTTTCAGTATTTCATAAACTTCAAATTTATATTCTGAATCAGAACTTCAGGTTCTGCTTCTTTGATCTTTGAGGTTTATTTATAACTTCAGGTTGCAAATATTTAGTAGAAATTACAACTTTAAAAACAAATAAATCAACAAAAAATAACATTGTTTTCCGACATGGAAGATCAAATTTAACAATGGAAATCACATAGCATACTTATAAGGATAGTTATAATATGTCAAAAATTAAACAAATAATGAAAGTTACAGAAGCTTCACATGCTTATAAGGTGATATATAATAACAATGCACAACAAGGAGTTTGAGTTGGCAAAATAAAAGAAAGATGGATTCAAGTAAGAGAAATGAGACATATAGGGCTTAATTGTTTATATGTGATATTATCTTTGCCCTAACTGGAAACGTAATGAATGAATTTTACAAGGCCTTTTATAGGCTACAAACCACCTCACATGAGACAACTAAAACCAATAGATAATTTAGAGCAAGTTAGCACTAATCTAAGAGACACATGTAAACTGCATTTAGCAGCCCTAATAATGCAAGTTGATAAACTTTGATGGTGGAATACCACCAAAGTCATAATTTTTTTTTTTTTTTTTTTTTCAATGATTGGAGTGTTCAGGTCAACTTACACGCACCTCAACTAATCTCCTCAGATCCTGAAACCATCGACTGGGTAAAAACTCCAATGATTATCCTTATTAACAACCGAAGAGAGACTCAAACTCAAGACCTCTTAAGTAATACATCCAAAAGTCCCTATTAAACCTCTTAACTCTAATTTTCATTTCTAAAAGCAAAAACACTACAATAATATGCACCTAGGCCCTAGCAAGTAAAAAGTTGGATTGAAGCTTGAAACTTAATGTAAGTTGATTGAAAACTTATGGTAATAATATTTAGCAAGTTCAACAAATCCCTTCAAATGGGTTCTTTATCAGAGAGCCGTAGCAAATGTCAAGAAACTGAACAAGCAATATGGACGTAAGCTGAAATTTGATTCCCCCGATATTTGAAAGAAGATAAATGTCTACACTCTACAATACATGAAACCAACTCAAAAAAATAACCTTTCAACTTGAAGCAATTCTAACCTAAGAATCTAACTATACCATATTGGGCCTCTGTGGAAGCAGAAGATTATAGAATTTATCATGTAAGAAGAAATTCTTTCCCTTGCTATCAACTGCTTTCTTCCACCCACACCATCCTCCATTTACAATTTTCTTGTGCTCGTCGTTCCCTGTATAGTGTGGATCAAGTATGAGAAATGCACAACCTCCACTTGCTTCATTGAAATCAATTCCCAATAGAGTATATGCAAGAACACCACCACCTGTATACATCAGAAGCACAATACATTTCCCATTCAGCAAATAATATGGCATAGCATACCCACTACAACATATAATTTTAGATCTCAAGTTCATTATCTTTATTTGAGAAAGCAACAAATACAAGGTAAATAATAGTTAAAAACAAAAAAAATTATTTGTCCAACTCACCAATCATAATCGGTGTTCCTTGAGTCTCAAAGTGCAAGGCCAGCTCTCGACATTTTTCAGGAAGCTCAGCTCCAGACCTCACGTTTATGATTTTACAACTAACCTGCTCAATGAAGCGAGTCGGATTGCCAGATAAGCATATGCGAAAATTAAATATCTGCACTTTATAGCAGGACTATGCACATGACTGAGACAATAGCATATTTAATTTTAATCAGTAATTGAATGCCATACTTACACCCAGAAGTTTGTCTAAAACAAAGCTCAATTCAATGGCACCAATCCATTCACGTGAACCTATAAAAGAAAGATCCTTATCGCCAATCTCTACAAGTGACTGCTGTATTTCCCTGAAAAATGCATTTGTCTGATCAAATCACATGACATTGAAACAAGGAGGTATTTTTTCCTTAATAATTTGCAACTAGAATAAAATCATAACAAGGCATAGGGAAATGGAAGAGAAGATTCAAATATAATTTATCTGTATCATATGGAATCATATTGAATCATATTTTTGTAACAGTCGGATTTGAAGACTTGAAAGTCATATGTTGAAAAGACATCAGCACTCTGTAGGCAGTGACCTTTTCATACCTATGTGAAGGAACATCTATGGACGTGTAGTGTTGGAGCTTGAACCACGAAATGATAGTCTGTAGAGATCGGTAAGCACAACCCCAGCCCTAGCAAATGATATATAAATGAATCAGTAATAGAGCTGCAAATACAAATAACGATTACAGGAAAGAAAACTTCACAAGCAATTACAAAGCTCAATTTCTAAGTAAAACATAAATCAGTTAAAAATTACAAAAAAGTAGTCAACTTCTACAAGAAGAAGTCCTTCAAACCCCATATAAAGGAGTACAAAAGTAAAATGATTTAGATGCCAAAGCTAATACATGATTAGACAGATAGAAGTAACCCTCAATGTTTTGCAAAATAGGAGAAACCTAATAATTCATTAAATACAGAAGCTGCGACAAATAAGAAAAGATGTTAGAAGTTAATTTAACTGGAGAGACAAAGAAAAACCAATACCGAGTCATCAAAGCCATCTTGAAGATAATGGTAGTACTCATATGAACCTTGAATCAGAGAGACAAGGCCCCCTGAGACTGAAAAAAAAAAAATTCACAATTTCAATGAACAATAGTTAAGAGGAACAAAAAGAGAAAAAATATTAGTAACCACTACCTCCACTACTCGGGATTCCAATATGTACATCTTTAAGCAAGGAAGAACCTGATATTGCCATAGGAATTTAAAACAAAGTTAGATAAGCACAAGGCCAAAAGAAACACAGACAGAGAAAAAGCTTACTGTCTACACAGAGCACTGCATATATAAAGATGGAAGAATTACCCTTTCTTAATGAATTGCTCCTTGAACCATCCTTAGTAATAGACAAATCCAGGGCATTAGCAATTCTCATGAGAGGACGATCAAAAGGCAATCCCAGCCTTAAGTGTAGGGATTTTCTTACATCAGCTGCAGAAACACAGAGGTTTAGAATTCAAGTTATTATATTGATCAATTACTAAGAGTAAATCAAATCACAACACTTAAGTAGTTGGTTCCTATCTAAAATTATTAGTGTCAGAAATGTCCTGAGAGGAGGTAATCCATTTGCTCTATATATGAAAGTTTGGGAATACTTTATTTATCCAACCACAAAATTTTCTTATTACTGGAAAGGGAGGAGAAAAATTTTATTAACCACTCAGCAATAAAAACAAAATGATGAAAACTCTGGCTCATGGTTATGCTACTTGAAGAGAAAAGGCAGAGAAATTTCAACCAAAATGATTACCTTGCTTCATTTCTGTCTCTCCATAATTAAGTTCATAGACAACAGTGATCGGATGCAATAATCCAGGAAGACTAAAGTGGAATGGACGAAGCTGTAAATAAAATAAATTTTCTAATTACTTGAAGAACATACATTAGATATAATATCCAGGGGAACAATTATGTTCTTATTAGAACATAAAACATCAAGGTATGCATGTAAATCAAAATTAAATGCCTGAAATATAAGAATGATGCCTTGTGAGAATTATCACAGGAAAGAAAACAAATGAGTAATGCATAACTTATTTTTACCTAAGGATTTGGTTTTGGTTCAGACTCTGGTGGCATTTTTTACATTCTTTTCAGTTCCCTTCCTGAGATGAGTAGTATGTGGCAACCAACACAATTATAGCTTTCTTTTAACAGCCCAAACTATATGTAAAATGTTTACAACAAGTCTCTCTCTGTGTGCATGGTTTTCAGTAAGTTATACTATTCTAAGCATTTTTCTGAGTCCCATTAAAGCAGAAGGCATTGTCAACAAGCTACTTATATTTTCTGATTATTAAAGGATAACCAGAATTGTTAGGATAACAGCACATATATTTAACTCTGTCAATTCCATAGCCAAGAACATTGAAGTTATAGCAGAAAAGAACCATATGTGTTCAGCATAGGTGTCTACTTATAGACAGCAAATTGGCAATATGAACACAGTTGTAAACTTTCATATACCTGAGGATGTTGAGTTAAGAGGCAGGGCATGACTGCCTTCGTCATTGAATTTAGTTGATCGACTAAACCAGGGAAAACTAACATAGAAATAGCATCCATCAGCGGAAGACTCTTGGCCGCATAACAAAGCACTTCTAGCTTAAAATCCACAACCAAAAGTCTGGCATCTTCTGAAGCTGACATCACAAAGATTGATTCCCATTTAAATGAGTTTTAAAGTTCCTCTGAAGTTTATATAAACAATAACTCAATTTTCCAGAAACAGAAACATTAATATCTTAACATTAATTAACTACCAGGATAAAATTCAGCAATGGGTGCAGTGGATATTGGAGACTTTTCTGATCTATTATGCAGAACACTTACTTGAATAATATCTGCACTCTAAGCCAAAAAACTTTTCAGAAATGATGAAAGCTTATATCCAGTATCATAGATGAATGTTTATTTAAAATAAAAAAATAAATAAAAAGTGTTCTAAATACCACTTATGGCCCATAGGCAAAATTATCATAACACAAAATATCATATGCTATTTCTTACCTCCGCAGAAAAGATTGTGGGGGCTGATTTACTTTTTAAACAAAAGTGTGCACATGATAAGTCTTTTCTGTCCAAATCCTCAGCAGCTTCACCCACAATATATGCACCCGATATTCGTCGAAATTTGATTTCCGTGTTAGAACTTATTAAACTAGGCTTTAATTTAAACTTTTCCAATACTAATGTCCATTTATTTTTGGACACAACATACTATGATTGTGGTTATATTTCTGATGGTTTTATAGTACTTGACATTGCTCATAATTATAGTAATGTTTGTTTTTCCTTCATTACATCTTCCAATAATGATGATGTGAATGTATGGCATGCACGGCTTGGCCATATTGGCCAACAACGAATGAATATACTAACAAGAGAAGGCTTGTTAAGATCCTTAGCAAAAGTAGACTCGACTACTTGTGAACATTGCCTAGTTGGAAAAATAGCAAGAAAACCATTTGGAAAAGCGATAAGAGCTGAAGTTCCATTGCAACTAATTCATTCTGACATATGTGGTCCAATGAATGTAAGGGCTAGACATGGGGCTGTTTATTTCATCACATTTATAGATGATTTCACTCGATATGATTATGTTTTTTTTATTTCTCAAAAAATCAGAAGCTTTAGAATGCTTTTAAAAGTTTAAAAACTTAGTTGATAATCAATTAGATAAAAGTTCTACGAACCGATCGAAGTCGTGAATATTTATCTGATTAGTTCAAAAAATTTTGTGATGAAATGGGAATAGAACGTCAATTAACTATTCCAAGAACTCCGCAACAAAATGGTGTTGCAGAACGAAGGAACAAAACCCTACTTGAGATGGTGAGGTCTATGATGGCACAAGCAAACTTGTCCATCACTTTTTGGGGTGATGTCTTATTGACTGCCACATATATCCTAAATTGAGTACTCTCCAAATCTATTACTACTACACCATATGAGTTATGGACAAATCGAAAACCCGATTTGAGTCTCCTAAAGCCATGGGGATGTGCTGCCTATGTTCATGATCCTTCCCATAAATATGGAAAATTAGGTCNAAGAAAAAGAGTTTTCGCTATAGAATGATTTGTTCTAAGAAAAATTCTTATTCTTTTAAGGTAATTTCCTTGTAGATTTTGTTTCCCTTATCAGTTTTGGATTATGTGAAGAAATTAAATAAAAAGTAGTGTATATATATATATAAGAAAATGAGTGTGATTCCTATAACAAAAATGAGATGTCTACACCTATAAATATGTCATGAGCTACAAAAGGGTGTGGGTTAAGATCTCAGCACAAAAGAGAGTACTGCACTGGTAAGTTAGAACCTAGTGTGTGTTCGACACCAAGAGAAGAAAGCGTGAGTGAGAAAATTTCATTCACGAGTACTATGTTATTGTCAAGGGCCTAGTGTGTCTTCCACAACAAGAGAAGAAACGTAGCATTCATAACGAGAGTAGAGTGTGATAACATAACCAAAAGGTGTGTTCTTATAGGATATGAGTGAGATAAACTGCAAAAGAGTTTAGTGAGAGTTAGAGAAGAATAGAGCTTATCTCTAGGCATCGAATATGCGAGCTGACAAAGGGGGTATAAAGGTTAAAGGCGTAGTTTTAAAGGTAAAATTGAGTTATGATCTTGTATTTGTCTTAGTCATTTTCTTTAGTACAGGCGGATAGTATTTTGCTAAACCATGTTAAATTCGTGTGTACCTGTATTATTATTTTCGCTTTTATCTTAAATTTGTGCTTAACTTAGAGTAAGTGCTATAAGTATATTGATTTTCGACAAACTAGTATCAAGCTAAGGTTGAAGATAAATCGACTTAACCGGTATCAAAGCGAAGGTCAAATTGCACACAAAAGCCTCAAGATATGGTAAGAATTTACATATCTAAAGTCATTAGGAAAACTGGTCTTCACACCCTCGGTGGTTTAGGATTTCATCCAGACCACACTTTCCTTACCCTATACTCCGTTGATTCATACACTATTTTTCTAAGGAATTACTCTACATGCTCTGGTACTCTTATGCCAGTATGATATTTGTATTTCCTTCCATGTTGAATAGACCTTAAATTACCTCTTTGACCTTCAGCAACCTTGGACAGACCAAAAAGATGGTGCTCTTCAATGGTTTCATTCCCTATCGTGGTGGTTTTCTTCCTTCAAGATTTACTCCAACCCAGCAAGGTATCTAAGAGATATCCTCACACTAGACATGTCATTCTACTTTTTCACAGACAACTGATTCCCCATCAGTCTTCCCTTCAGTTTGTTAGTACAATTCAAGAATACCGAATCTTTCCGTATGGTCTTCACCGTGAATGGGACACATACAGGAAAGAGTTTAGTGAATTCCTGCGACGCATAGCAAAAACCAACCAGAAGATACCTCCTCAAATATGGCCCCGCATTGATGAAGATGCACCCTGGGAATTCCATCCTCCGGAATATTCCTCCCAGGTCAAACAAGATTCAGAGATATACTACTCCACCAAATGCATATGCAGGACAACAGAATATCCAATCAGGCGTGTTCTATACATGGTCACAAATTTTCAACCATCGGCCCAGTCAAAGTCTTGGACAAATTTGTCAACCCTCTAGACGTCCTACGTGGAATAAAGAAAATGATTTGAATCGGACCCATGAAATTTGTTTTTCTTCGCAACATCCTCCGTACTGTAACAACTGTACTCAACCAGACCCGGACCTACAACAGAATTACACAACAAGCCCAACTGTTGGAAAACCTTCCCAGGCCTAAACCTGCTCGGAGTTTGCTCAACATGACCTCAGACTATCCTAATTACTTGTTATGGATAATAATTAATACAATGAGCAATTGGTCAACTAGCAACTTCTTCTCACAATCCTAATATGTCATCTTACAATTGCACAACTTACAATGGGTCTTGTCAGTCTAATTACAAACTATTATATCGAAGATTGTGATAAAAAGTTTATAAGATTAGATTGTGAATCAATCTTTATTGTTAACACAATAAATTAAGAGCATCATAACATTCGACTTCGGACTTCTTACTGACACAAAATTACACAACAAATTGCATTTAATTCTCACGAACTATAAGAGAAAAAAAATTTAAATTTTAAAAATAAGTTGTTAATGAAAATTAATAAATGTAAATAAAATATTATAATTTAAAAAAAGGCATTGAATAAAATTAAATCTACCATTCAATCACTCTGATTGGAGGATAAATGCATCAAATGTAAAAAAAAAAAAAATTGCCTAAACTTTGAATAAACACTTCAAATTTAGGAGTATGAATATATTTCTATAGTATTTTTGTCTCCGGAAATTAATAGCATATTTGTGAATTGAAAATCATATAAAAATAAAATCATACAAAGCAAAAATATAATAACCACACTATTGATCTTTGCATGCATTTTTTACAACATCAACTTAATTTAGACCCCTCGGAAACATAGTACGAAGAGAGAGGAAAATTGACATCCATCTCTTTGGAAAAATGATAAAGACTCAAATCACTGCTCGAAATGCCCCATTTATGATCAATATCTCGCTTCAATTCTGAAACCAATATCATTTCTTTCGCTGCGATTGTAGCATATATTTTCTTGAATGTTAATTAATTGTTAAAAGATCTGTATCGAAGTTTAACATAATTAACCCATGACTGTGAAAAGCACCGTGCTTATGATAAAATCCAAAAAAAAAAAAAAAATCAAATATTAATTAAATTTATCCAACACTAGCATTTAAATTGGAAATTAATAGAGTTGTGACAAAGTGTATATATAAGAAAATTGTAAGGCATGGTGATTTTGTGTGAATCAACTGTCGTTATAAAATGAATTAATTAATTTATTACTTTTATTTTTGTTGAAAGGTAGATATTCTCATTCACAACCTATTTTATTTTTTTGAAATCTCATTTTAAGTAAATGTGGGATTATATGAAACAAGTGCAACTAACAGAAAATACAATACACAATTTTCATTTATAATTATTTATTAATTATTAATAATCATGCACTTGCTCATGACTATTTTGAGTAGTGATTTTATTTTCTTATATATGCATTTGTTGTAACAATTATTTATTTACTTACTTTTAACTCGTAATTTGTGCATAATTTGTATATCATAAATGACATAAATTTTAATTTCGGCGATAACTATTAAAATATTAGGGATATTGTTCATGTTTATGAGATTAAAGTATGATCGATTGATTCATTAATTATTCCATTAGGAGAATAAATAATATCATAAGTCTAAAATGAATTAATTAATAATTAAAAAAAAATTATTCAATAATTTTGTTAGGAGAATAAAAATCAATAAAATTCTTTAAAAAATAATAATTTAACTTTATCTTCAAATAAAAAAAATTAGATATAGTGAAAAATTAAATGAAAAGAGAAAAACCAGCAATTAAAATTTAGAAAAATGTAATTCATCATAATAACTATTATTTTCCCTATATAGAAATTTGTATAACCAGATAGGATGATTATCCCAATCATTTATTTTGGCTCTAGCAAGGTTCACATCTAAAACTTTGCTAACTTACTTCTTTAAATCGAAAATAGTTCCCAAGATTGGCATTCGGATCTTGGGTATCACATGTCCACTCGTGATCGTAAAAAGTACCGTGCTCATGATAAAACCCCAAAAAAAATTTTTAAAAAAGAAAGAAATTGCTTGTTAATTAATTTTTTTTAGTACTCTAAGATTTGGATTGAGAGTTACAGTTATAATTAACTTTATATATTAGAAAATTAAAGACCTGTTTATTTTTTGTGAGACACTGGCAATGTGAAATGAACATCATGTAAGTTCTTTTTTAATGTATATATATATATATATTTTTTTTTTTTTCTCATTCACAAGATATTTCATTTGTTTCTAATAAACAGGCTTAATTAGAACTCAAGCCTTGAAATCACATGTATATATTATAACGCAATATGAAATAAATATTATGTATAATGGCATGCACGGCCAAGGTCCGTGGTGTGCACGACCAAGGTCCAAAGCCATGATAAACAAGCTTAGGTATAACTTAATCCCAAAAGTTTACTCACAGAATGAGGGAGCCCAACCACATATTATTTGATCAATTAACACAA